TTTCTACAAGTATCCACCAAGCAAGAGTAGAACCATCAAAACATGCTAGTATTCACTTGTAATTTGTTGTTCATAACCCTTTGAAATATATACCAAATATATGTTCAAAAGTGAAGCAACAAATGGACATTCTTTAAACATTAAAATGCAAGAGAATGGAGGAGAAGAAGAGAGCCAAAACTCGAAATTTTGGCAGCCCTATAGAGCACTTGTTGCTCTCGGTTTTATGGCTAAAAAGAAGAAAAAGAAAAAGCTTGCTTGAAGTGTTATCTAATGCCTCCATACCTTAGCTTATATACTAGCCAAAAGTAATAAAGTGTCTTACATAAAGTAAGTCAAAGGTATGGCTTATGGAGAGAAGCATGCTTGAAGAATAGACAAGGCATGCATGCCTTGTCTCCTCCTAATTTCGGCCTTATGGCTAATGCATGGAACCAAAGGATGTTCCATTATTATATGTCTAGTTTATACATGTATAAATATATATACTAACTTTATATAAAAGACTATCATTTATATAAAGTGATTCTTATATTCAAACAACTAGTCATATATATATATATATATATATATATATATATATATATATATATATATATATATATATATATATAAACTCTAATTAGTTTATTAAGATATAAATATAACTTATAAATAATCATACTTTATGATATTTTTTATAAGTTGTTATTTCTCCAATAAATATTATTTTCACAAATAATAAATTTCCAATTAGTAAAATATTATTTCCATGAAATAATAATTTTCCAATTAAATACAAGTGTTGATATATTTATTAATAATCAAATTATACTAATAAATAATCAATTGACGGTAATGCTAAATGGTGTGACCCTATAGGATCATATATTATTAGCAATATCATTCTATAATGACTTTTGAGCATACTAGATCTTTCAACATGGACCAATCTTGCAGTTTTGTCTTTAGAAAAAAAAAACTCAGTGTCAAATTCGAAATTTTGTGATAATATAGTGACGTTTTTTTTTTGCAATTTGCCCTTGATTTAAATGACAAATATCAATAAAAAAACAAACAAAGGGTAAGAATGTCATTTCATATGAACTAGGATAAACCATAAGAAAGTTAAATAATAAATAGAGAAATCAAATATCCTCCACTTTTTTTCTCCTACCATCTTCCTATATATTTAAGATCGTGACATTTGTCATATTAAATAAATTTTTATTACACTTGTCATCATCTAAAAGGGGTAGAAAGATAGATAGAAAAAATAAGTAGGATGCTATTTAATTTTTCTAACAAATATTAATAAGCAAGTGAATATTGTGCGGATGCATAGATAGTGAAGATAAGTATTAGCAATAAAATACAAAACAAATATTAGCAATATGAGCTCAATCTTCCTCTCGTGCTACTTCTCAATCGGCTTACATTAATGTCTTAAGAGAACTTTCTGATTAGCTCGAATGTTATTTCACACATTATGTGGTTACTCTCCACTTTACTCATCTCTTATTTATGTTGTGATCAACGTCATTCTTAACACCTATTTCTTATAGACAATGGGTACTTGAAACTCTCAAACTCTCATTTGGGTGTAGCATTTGCTTAATGATACACATTTCTACTCCTCTCATTTCTCCTGAAAAATTGCACCATATATATTTTGTATTAACTGTAATTATCGATCCTAAGCTCTTTTTCCTGAGATTGATTTTTCAAATCATTTTATCTTATTTTATTTTAATAAAAAAAATTGGGATAGGAAGATGAACATTTCCATGGTTGTTGGATGAAATAAGAAGATAAAGAAAAGTGATGTGGCCAGAATGGAGAGATGGAAAGATATCATTCACGCATCTGCCAATAGGAAGAAGACTACTTTACCAAAGTTTTGTACATATGTGACATATGTATGTGCACATTCTCACAATGTGATGTAAAATTAACATATAATGGGAGGTCGTATATTTATAATCAACTTCAGAACAAGTTTTTTATTTTTATTTTATTACTATTGGATATGTATTTTTTGGTCGAATAAGTATAAACCATTCTATATAAACTTAAATGTTTTTGAGTTGGTTTTTAATACAACTAACCCCTTACTCCTAATTATAGCTAAATTTTAAATCTTCGTTATATATTTATCAACTAATTTCTTTTAATAAATAATAAATAATATTTTATTTTAATGCTTGGTATTATATATATATATATATATATATATATATATATATATATATATATATATATGGGTTAGGTTATTTTTGTTTTTACTAACTATTGTGTGCCAGAATGCACAGATCTGGACCATCGGATAGAATATAATCAAATGTCATGATCTGAGGGTCTATGATAGTAGAATATGATAACATGTACCATATAATCACACAAATTTCAACATAAGGGCATTTTAGTCAATTAACCTATATTAAAAAAGGAAATTTTCGGATTTTTAGGGATGATTAATTCCTTTATTTTTTAAAAATCTGAATATTTTAAATTAATTCAAATTTAAAAATCCGATTTTATTCTGTCAGAATGATAGAATGCCAACCATAAACTAGTGAATATATTTTTCGATTTTATTCTGTCAGAATGGCAGAATGCCAACCATAAACTAGAAAATACATTATGAAAGAATACACAAATCAATTCTTCAACTAATAATATAACAAATAATTACATTGTATGATTGTAATTCATTGAATAATAACAACATTCTGAAAGAAAAAATAAAAAAAAACATCAAAATCTAACAAAAACACTAATTTATTCTGAAAGAATATTATTTTTAAGCAACACTTTATACATTGTAGCATAACACATTCTGGTATATTATTTTTAAGCAACACTTTATACATTGTAGCATAACACATTCTGGTATAATACACTCTCGTTCTATATGTTTTCTTCCTTCTCCACATCAATGTTAGCCTCTTCAAAACCTAAATCCACAAAGAAAAGATAATCAAGTTTCAAAAATTAAACAATTCAATGCATTATAATAGAATACAACAATAAATATTCTTACAGAATAAACTATTCTTGCAGAATGGTTTTGAATATTCTTAAAGAATTTGTAACATATTCTACCGGAAACGATATAATAGAGAATGATAACATATTCTACCGGAATGTTTTTTACTTTCCCTATTTTTACAAATAAGAAGATTGAAATCAAATTGTCACAGAATAATAAGCATTCTGAGAGTTTTGACAGAATACATACAACATGGCCAGATTCTCTTTCAGGAATTTCCACAAACACCTTTTGTGCACACATATATAAATAATAGAGAATCAAAAGCTTAAAGTATAAAAAAAAACAAATATCCTCATTGTTCTTCTGATGCGAATTTAAGGGAGTGTACAACTCAGCAAAACTTAACATCCATTAAAATAGGTTGCTTCATCAATTAGGGTTTAAGAAAAAAGGGTTAAAGTATAATCGTTGTTACCTGTATCGGTTATCTTTATCTCACTTGTAGGTGAATTAAGTCTGGTAAAATCATTGTCAACTGCCTCAACACCTTGATTTCTATTTCTATCGTTGGGATCCTCTTTTGGAATTTCATGATGTTGCACTTTCATCGGCGAATACTGACTCGTACTCACACCGCCTTCTAACCGAGACAGATGGCCACATAATGCGTCGATAATTGCATTCGCCGCCGCGAACTCGCCTCGGAACCAGGAGATCATCGTGTCCCTGGCGAACGTCTCTGTTTGATGTACCGTCGGGGCTAGATCGGAAGTTGTAGAAACGTCGGTTGTCGGCGCCATCGCCGACGAAAGGGCCCGGCTCCACCCGTTCTCTTCTCCAATCCATAAAGTTGGTGGTTCTACCGTGTTATGGGGTGGTGCTACTGCTCTGGTGGTGTCGAAATAAGGAGAGGATAATGGTTTCTGGGTCTGTGAAGAGAGAACAATGATTTTAAGAGAAGTAGGGGGAATCGGTGGTGGTGTTATATGAAACTGATAACCTAAATTAGTGGGATATTGATTGATTTTGTTTTCTTTTACCATAATTATTTATAGTGTAGATTACTCTTATACCCTTTTATTATTTATTAGTGATTTAATTATTTCCTGAATTCTCATTGGTGCATTTAGACACACAATACTTGCTAAAAACATTTGAACCTAGCTCATATATATATATATATATATATATATATATATATATATATATATATATATATAATATAACTTTGAGTTTGTGAGTATAAGTTACTCTATCTAAAAGTACAATCTTTATGTACAATGTACAAGTATCTTAAATTCTTAATGCATGAAGTTCAACTTTAATCCCTCAAATTTGTATGACCCGTCACTTGTAACCCCTCTATTTCATAAAATGATATTTTCCATCCTATATATATATATATATATATATATATATATATATATATATGTGTGTGTGTGTGTGTGTTTCCCTCTTCTACTTTATTAATACACAACAAAAACACGTAAAAGTTCGTGATAAAGCGCAAACTCCATTACTAGTTCTTAATTATAGTATAATATTTTTATAACTACATATTTATGATCTTTTGAACTTTTGGGGGGAAAACACCCTAAAAAGCTTAATTAAATAGTTAAATTTTTTGTATTGTAATATACTATTTTAATTAAATGTGTCACATAATATTTCATTTAAAAAAAATTGACGATCGTATAAAAAATAACAAATTTAGATGAGAATTCTATAATTCATTTCATATGGATGGGATAAATCAGTTAACTTATATACGATTTTTTTTTTTTTTTTTCAAAAATGGTCAATGATAGGGATAGATTAGTTAATAAATTTGGTGGAAAACTATGTTGTAAAACAAAAAAGCTATGCTTAGGGCGGAAGAATGTATATGCTCTAAAAAACAAATTAATTCTTTTAAAAATGAGATAGTGTTTTTGCTACTTTACCATCTTTGTTCCATATTCAAAAGATCATACAATTATCCCAAAATCTCAACCAAACACTCTTAAAAAAAAAAAAACAATACTACATTATCATTAATTCATTATAATAGTTTTATGGTCCCAAAACGGCCACAATCATTCTACATTTCACAACACCCGCAAAATGAGGCCAAAACCAAAACATTACACAACAAATTACCCACCAATCTCAATTCCAAAACTATAATATCACATACAAACATGCCATCTTGGACAAATTTATTTCAAACTTTTCACGGGTGTACAACTGTCCGAGCCGCTGACCTGGCAATCCGAACTTCCAGGTCGCATCCAGATCTTGACATGTCCATCCCGGCTGGCAGTAAAGGTAGACTCCTGAGAGAATACGAGTCCAGAAAGCGGCTCCGAGTGGACTCGGTGAGCCACCAACGGAGCGAGTTTCGGAACATCCTTTGTACTGGGAGCCGGTTGGAGGGTCCCCACGGGGACCACATTGTCCCAGTGAGATGACTGTGTCCGGCTGTACGTTGGGGACCCGCCAGGTGGACGCCTAAGTGGGACCACAAGCTCATCCATCACTAGGTCCCACAACAATAACTGCGTATCCTACACAAATTCAAATCATAGTCAGTAGTCAAGACAGAACAGGACAGAACAGACAGTGTTGTACTGTGTTTGACATACTTGGCCGACAGAACCAAATCTGTAAACCGCATTTTCGGATTCATCATCTTCTGAAGTGGGAGGTGACCAATAAGAATCAAAAGCAACTCCACTAACCTGAAATAAGAAATTAAAGATTTATTTAATTATTATCTTGAAATGTTTTTATTTATTTATTTTTTAATTAAAATTAAGAAATTACGAAATTACCCATGAGTTGTGACCTTCTCCCCATGCTACCACTTTCCGGTCTTCCATACTCCAAACCTGAACTAGATCATCTTCTCCACCAGTCAATATGTATTTCCCATCCGCACTGATTAATTTAATTTAATTTCATTAAATTAAATCAAGATTTTTTTTTTTTTTTTTCGCTTAATAAAAAATTATGTAAGAATGAGTTTTGAAATTTTATTACCTCCAGGCACAACATAGAAGGGCACCATAGTAACTTTTTCCACCGCATATCAGTCGTTCATTTAAAAAATCAAACACCCGTAAATAACCTATATTAAAAAGATGAAATCAAGATTAAAAAATGTAGTAAATGAGTTAGAATGTTACAGAGGGCAGATTAGTAATTTACCATCTCTTCCAGCCGTTGCTAAATGTCTTCCATCAGCTGAAAATGAAATGGCATTGATAGGACCTTGGCATATATGCCATCTAGCAATAGGGTTACTCTGTTTGATGAGATATATATATATATATATATATATATATAATTAATAAATGTCCAAAAACAAACACATAGTTATTTTATATATAAATATATATAACATATATTTTCATAATATAAAAAAAAGTTAGTTATGTGTACCTTACTAGAACGTGCATGTGCAACAGAGAATTGAGTTTGATCCTTTATTACAGGAAATGTAGAGTCACCAGGACCATCTTTGCTCTAAATATATCAAAACAAAATCAATGTATTGATTAAAATTTAAATTTTAATAAAAAACTTTTAAAAAAATACATATATGTTGAAATTGAAGCTTGCCTTTTCATAAACATACAAGTTTCCATCAGCATGTGCAGCAACAAAAGCACCTTCACGTTCAGGTATCCATGAAATACTAGTGCATCGACTATTTAAAAAAAGATTGAATCTTGAGAAAATTACTTATAAATATGGTTTATAAGGTCAAAATAACCAAAAAGAGATTGTATTTCATTTGATATGAATCATATGATATGTTTTACCTGTTGTTAAGGGTTCCATCTTTGTTGTAATGATGAGCACCTACTAATTTCTTCCCAACATCTTGCAACTGCAGTCTTAAGGATACCGAGTATACTACAAAAATTAAGTGCTAAAAGTGAAAAAGTTGATTACTTTAGTGTAAAAAATATCTAAAAAAGTATAAATCCATTTGAAATGGAGAATTTGGGGAAAGAAGTTACCATCTCCTGAGTTTAACCCAATCAGTAAATCATGCCCTTCTTTGGCTTTTGAATCAAATGCATGACATACAGGATTTGAATTACCAAAAGTGATTGATTTTATTGGGTCCTGAAAATGTTATGTTGGTTAAGTTTGGACATAATAAATGAATATGTATAACTTTGAAGAATCAAGAATTAAGATTACCTTTTCTTCTGAATTGAGCTCTGAAATGTATAGTGTGTCTCCTACATTGAATATCAAAAAAGTTCCTTTGCCATCTGGAGTATTTGAACCAGGTGTAGAGTTGTTGACACCATTAGTGAGTACTCCTCCGACATGGCTACTCTTGCTTGTTCCACCATTTGCTTTACTGCTTGTGCCATTTCCTCCAACAAATCCAAGCATTCGGCTGCCATTGCCACTGCTTCCTAAGAACTTTGATGTCACATATCGCACTCCACTGCTTGCAACGCTATAGCTTGAGTTAGGTTGCAAAGGAGGAGTGTTTGTTGCTGCCTGAACTGGTTGATCCTTGATGTGTGCTAAGGTTATCTGAACACTCGCAAAATAAATATGTTTATCACTGATCCGATTCATGTTCATGTCGATTTTGCATTAGAGAGGAGGTAGGATTGAGATTAGAAATCAAATTATAGGTTTCATGAAGAATATACGCTCCCTTCGATCCTTGAGGTAAGCTAGGGTTTGTGTTATTACTATCAATTATCAAACACTTATACCTAATTTCAATTTCAACATCAGCTTATATGAATGATGCTTAACAGACAAGTAATAGTCTGTATCATCTGAACTGAGACAAGTTACAAGTGTGTTTAAAAGAGAATTGATTACCTGAGTGATGGACTTGGCGAGGGCGTAGGGAAGGAGAGAAGAAGGATGGGTTTTGTCTTGATGAAGCTTGTAACGGCCTTCGGGAGTTTTGAAGAAGTTTTTGAGACCGAGAGATTGGGCGGCGGTGTTAGAAGAAGAAGAAGCAGAAGGTTGAGAGGCGGTGTTGGTGGTGGTGGCTGCGGCGGTGGTGGTATTGATCATGGCGACGTTGACTGATAGTGATCGGAAGGAGAAGGTTCATGGCAATCGGAAATCGTGTTCGCCCATTGGTGAAGGTTGGACTTTGGAGTTGCAGGTCAATCTGTTGCCATGGCCGATGCGAGCGCACCCCTTTTGCCCATCTGTTTTTCTTATTAATTTTAATTTGGGGTTGAATGCTAAAAAATATCAAGTTTATTTTTAAAAAGCTTTTTGTTATATAGTTATATTTTTATTTCATTTTTATCTATTTTAATAAATAAAAGATTTTTTTTTCACATGGCATACTCTCATTTATTTTGTCACATGTCATTTTATGGTTATTAAAATTTTTTTTTCTACATGTCATTTTGTGGTTATTTTATTTTATTTTATTAAATTTCATATAATATATAAATGTAATAATTACAATAAATATAATAATAAATGAAAATCAATTTCATTAATAGACTTACCTTCTAATTTCAAAATTTCTAAATTAAGACTCTATTAATTTATTTTCTTTATTTATCTAAATTTAAAAAAGAAAAAACAATTCAATTTTATTAATTCAATATTTTTCTCAATTTTCATATAAATTCAAAATTTCTAAATATTTAAACCTTTCATAGACACATGTAATACATGAGTCTTATAACTAGTTCAATATTATATTATTTAAACTGTTTTTTTATCAACGTATTATATTTTACAATTTTATTCAATAAAGGTTAATGTTATGATTGATTATGATGTTCGTCTAAGGTAAGTCTTTAAAAGTTTAGTTTTCCAAACTCAAAGACTATTCAAAACGGGGGTTTTAAGCTCTTACGTTGTGGTGAAATCATTTTTGTATTTTTGTTAAGACTATTTCTGTAACTTTATTTTACAAAGAGCCAATTTCTAAAACTTTGTTACAAAAAGACTATAACTTTTTTCACATATGGATAATTTATGTAATTTCGTCTATTTCCTATCCTATGGAGGGATCGTTTCTATAATTTTGCACTCTAACCTTTTGTTGGAGTGGCACATTTTATTTTGGTTTTCTGCTGCTTATTTCGAGTCTCCCCTTTAGGCTTTATAAGATTTGTTTGTGTGTTTATGGCGTCTTCTCATACATATGCGAGTGGAACTTGGTCATTTATTGTTGCCCGTACGGTGAAGTAGGCGGTAGGGGGATTTCTCGTATGATTTCTCATATCAAGAGCTTGCATCTCTCCATGGATGAGCGTAGAACTATGTTGCGGGAGGCTATTTCTTTAGACTAGGGATTGTTTATGTCAGTGACAGCAACATTGAAGGAGTTTGGTCAATGGATATGTAGGGATTTAGGGATTGTATGAGCCTACATGCCCTAAGCCATGCTTGTCGCCACTCAGATGGTCTTGTCAAATTTAATGGCGAGTTTGATGACATGAGCGGACATATTGTTGGTATACAAAAGCCGCCACCCAATGAACTGGAGGTCGACCTCAATGAGGGGTTGGTGTTGGATGCTCAGCTCCTTGATCGTGTGTTTCAGCTACCTATCATCACAGTCAAAAGCATCTCTCAGAACTGTCGTATGACTTTCTCTCAGGCTTTGAAAGCATCCCTTTCCAAGGTAGTTGCTCATCCCGGATCCGTTAAAGTGTGGGTTACATTGTTAATTCTTCCTAGGTGTACTCTACAGGTGTTCAAGCCCAAGAATAGGCAAGACAGTAGGTATGGGAACATGAAGTCCTTGCAACAACGTAATATCCTAAGCACATTAACTACTTGGGGTACGGAAGACGGTATAGCCAAGCTTGTTAAAAACTTGGTTGACAATGCAAGGCTGGGGCAACAAGGCAAAAAAAGAAGAGTATATTCAGGAGGATAGAACACGGGGGCGACACCAACGTCAGACAATGTCTTCGTAAGGTTGCAGATGGGGTATTTCATAACAGCATTGAAATTATTATGTTCCTCGGGGGTTGCTCCATACGAGGATGATACCACCAAGGCATTGGAGGATAAGCATCCACACAAGCCACCACCATCCATGCCGAGTACCATATGTCCACTACCTTCCCTTGTAGTGGATATTGACAATGTCCTTGTGTGTATTAAATCATTCCCTAAAGGAACCTCGTGTGTAACGCCCGTGTTTCTGGGCTAAGCATTAGTAGATGGTGTAATAGTCTAGATCAACCAATGTAACTCATTTTGAAATAATAAAGATGAATCATTTGAGTATTATGTGAATTATGTGAATTTATGTGCTTTATACTTAATTATAAAAGTATAATAAATAAAGGATAAAAATAAGCGTCAAAATTAAAGTGTGAGATAAAACCGATATCTATACATAAAGTTGTAGTGGTCGAAACAAGGATTCCAGATATATAAAGAACGTCGAGATCCGAGCTATAACGAATAAGTTATGACCTGTCGAAGTTTCGCGACAGAACCGGCACGACACTACGGACGTAAATAGTGAATTTACGATAGAGCGATCTTTAGCCTTAGCGATCTAAACAAAAAAGTCGTAGAATACGTTAAACCGAGAGCATGCATGAAAAGAACGCCCAAATCTGACTTCGTATGAGAAAGTTATGATTTTTCGAAGTTTCGGCTTAGCGGTATGCAGCCCGGAGTTCGAGTATTAGATCGAGCGGTTATTTTCCGACACAACCTAAATGAGAATCTAAGATCTCGTTAATAGTAGCGTAACGATAAAAAGACAGACGAAAACGGATGTCGGATGAAGAAGTTATGGATTTTTAACGGACCAATCCTGTCCCGACCTGTTAAAAATATAAATTTAAAAATAAAATCAAAATTAGCCGACGGAGTCTAAACGAAAGTTGTAGAGAACGGTCCCGCCTATGCGTGGATATAAAGAACGTCGAAAACGGAGCTCGTATGCGAAAGTTACGAATTTTAGAAATTGGGAAGGAAAATTACGAAACTGATGCGAAAGTGATGACGTGGCTCGATTAGGGTCGTCGCTTGCTGATCACAGTCTGGCCTTCGGATCCGGACACCTGGCCTTGCTACGCCTCGCGTACGAGAAGAGCGCCCAGCGTCCGAGTACGCCCGGCGTCGGAAGAGGATTACGCCCATCGGTCTTCGGTTGCGCGGTTCCGAGATGTCCACGATGACCCAGCAGCCTTGCGACGCGTGTCTCGTACGAAGTCACATTACGCCCAGCGTACACCTTCGGTACGCCCAACGTAGACCGAAGCTGGAGCCTATAAAATGCATGCGAGGGCAGCCCGGCTAAAGCACACAAAATCCTTCTACTTTCTCTCTCTACTTTCTCTCACTACCCCCTAACCCCCCCTAAAGCCTAGGTAAACCCCCTAGCACACGAAGGAAGCCCCGAGGCTCCCGAAGCCTCGAGAAAAAGAGCCGTTCGGCTCGGAAACGCTGCTCCAGCGAAGCCCGGTTTTTAATAAAAACCCGCTGTAAGTGAGATACGGCTACCGTACTTTAAATATAGCTTATATTTAAATATGATTTCGTTATTTTGAACTTATAAATAAGATTTATCAGTGATTCAAAGTCGTTATACTGATTGATCTACTTACGGGAATGATGTCTAGGCTGTGATTTAATGAGGTGTTTAAAGTGGGATTTCTAAACAGTATACTCCGTATACCAAACGGACCCTACCTCCGATATGATCCTACCTGGTTGTTCCTTACTTGATAGATCATGAAGTAGACTTTGAGTTAATGATGAATCTAGACTAATAATTAGTCGCAATGAATATTAGACTAAAATCTAGTGGTAATAATACTAGGTTTCGTCGAAGGAAATCATATTGTTAAGAAGCGAAGCGCTGCTCGAATTTCGAGTCGTCACCTTAACAAGTGAGTGCATAGTTACTTTCATCTTACACATAGATATGAAGTATTTTATATAAATTACGTGCTATGTGTGCATATTGTCTGAATACTTGCTGTCTATGCTGTATGAAAGATTTTATACATGTTTTAAATGATTTAAACTGTATATGTATTTTATATCTACAAAATGTGTTGGGTAAAACATGGGTAGAAGTAATAGTTGGGTGTGATGAAATAAAATGATGAGACGCCTCGATGTTGATGATGTTTCCAGTCATCTAGCGGAGTATAGATGAGGACCACAGACTTTTCTAGACAGTCCAGTGGAACGCTAGCAGGCTCGGAACCTGTAGGTGTTTGTGAGCGATGTGTTCACTGGTGTACTCCATCCCCCTCATGGTTGCCTTAAGGACATTTATTGCTGAGGAACCCCCTTAGCAGTAGTATCCATCCCGATGATGATCCTTAGGCTAGGTCTCTTATGATAGGTAAGGATAACGGGAATGGGTAATCGGGTTATTGTTGGTTGATGAAATTAATAAACTTATTTATTGTGGGTTGAAAACCCTATGTGCTCAACAGGCTCCCAATCCTGACCCACTCAGTTTCTTGTATTACATGTAGTGGCACTCGAGCATAGGTGTGATGTTTGGCTGAGGGATTACGGATTATAGGCATGTAGATATGAATAAATGTTGTAAGGCTTATATTGTATTGTTTATGCTTTTGATGATGGGTTTTTGAGCATTCTAACACTTCCTAAGTGTACATGCAACCCTAATAACCTTGAATCTATGTTTTCTCTATATACATGCAAATTTCTTTTCAAGGTTATTTCCTAACTAGCATGGCATGGGGATTACATAGAACATAAAACTAGTATAAATACATACCTTGTTGTTGCTTGGATTCTTTCAAGACTTTGTGAGCCTAGCACCCCAAATGTTGTGCCTCAAATGCTTCACACAACACCACAAGACTTGGAATAACTTGAGAGAATACTTCTAGCACTCAAAATCGGTTATGCCCTCTCTAGTAACCCTAGGTCACGATTTTGCTAGCCATAGGGTTCCTTTTATAGTGTTGTCACAATTAGGGTTTACACATGAATGCCCTTAATTGTCATGACTCTTGATTTCTCATGACCCATGGGTTTGTAACTCCCATGGACTATCCATGGAGCTCCATATGGTTATAACCAAACCCATAAACCATGGATCATTAATCCACCATAAAAGAATTGATGATTGTCATAATCAACCCTATATATTTAATTAGTCTCACTTTGATCACCAAATTAATACTAGATTAATACTTGATCAATACTAATTAAATAATACTATTATTAATATATTAGAACTT